AAGTACCATGCATGGAGATAACCTAGAACCCCTGCACAGATGTAGCCCATGGCAGTTTAGTGTCCAAGTGCATTCCATAGTAATGGGAAGAGGGACTGTCTCTGACATAATCTGATTGGCCTGCTCTTTGATCACCTCCCCCTGAGGGGAGAGCAGCCTTACCAGGCCACAGAAAATGACAATGCAGCCAATCCTGATGAGATCTGATAGACTAAGATCAGAAGGAAGGAGCGGAGGACCTCCCCTATCAGTGGACTTGGGGAGGGGCATGCGTGAAGAAGGGGGAGAGAGGATGGGATTGGGAGGGGAGGAGGGAGGGCTTATGGGGGATACAAAGTGAATAAAGTGTAATTAATAAAAAAAGAAAAACATAAAAAAATTAAAAAAAAAAAGAAAATGAAAGGTCATGTACTCCAATGGAGTAACACTTTGAAGCCTTGTTCATTCCATCATTTGTTTTGTTTTGTTTTGTTTTGTTTTGTTTTTGGTCAGTACAATGTTGACTTCAGTGGACATATCCAACAACCAATAAATTATCCTTTTACAATAAAAAAAAAAAAGAAGGCAGAAAGGGGCAGACCTAATAGCTTGTCTTTAAAAGGCTACTAATGAGTAATTCCACTACCTTATTTATTACAAAACAAATGGCTCATGGCTTTTAATGTGTACCATAATTTAACTCATACACCAAAATTCAGATCATGAATGGCTAACAACGTTTTTGTTGGACAGTCCCAATTTAAGTAAAAACTGGCTTGTAGTTAAAAGGAGAAGAAGAAAGAGAGAGATAGAGAAAGAAAAACTTCAAGTCATCAAGGTGGCACACACCTGTAACCCCAGCACTCAGGGACTTGCAGAGGCAGGCAGATCACTCTAAGTTTGAGGCCAATCTGATCTACAACGCAAATCAAGGACAACCAAGGCTACATAGAGAAACCCTGTCCCCCAAAACCAAACCAAACAAAGAGACTTCAAGAACGTACCAAAGGTCCTATAGGTTAATGATGATAGAGAAACTACATATCCAGTGAGAGCTCTGCACAGCTCAAAGGCAAAAACCAAGCTAGGACATGAGTGGTTTATTAGATTGTGTGTTGCTGTTTCTCTCTCAACCCAGTTAGCAGCCAAATAATTGCCGCTGGACTATATTTATTTAATAAGCTTTATAGCACAAGAACTGAGCAGTGTTTAAACTATTCTTAACCCTTTAAGCTAGTCTGGCTTCCTCCCAGCCGAAATCCCCAAGATACTTGCATGTATGGCCTTCTCTGCTCCAGCTACTCCTTCCTCACGTGTCCCAAACCTCTGTCCTTGGCTGAATCTCCTGCTTCCTCTATCTCTTCTCCCCTCGCAGGCAGGAAGTCCATTCCCTATTTTCTCCCCTGCTCAGTAATTGGCTATTAAGCTGCTTCACTGGCATATCAGGGACAACTGGGGAGCAAAGTTTAGATAGGAGATTCTAAGAACAATGACTGCAACCAGACATGGGGAGCCACAAAAACATCTGCATTTGAATCTTTACACAGGGCACACTAACATTATGCCTATGGTGGTGGAAAAGAACCAGGCACAGGGCTATGAAGTCAGCTCTTCCTTTCAAGCTAGGAAGGCTGCTGTCTTCTTTTCTGCTAAGTGTCTTACAGGCTACAGTTCCACATACTAACGTCAGTGGTTTTTAGGTAACTCCCAAAGTCATGTGGCACTGTTGTTAACATTTACGGACCAGTACTAGAATGAAATAATGTTTAATTGAAGAATCAATGATAAAAAGAGTATTTGCTCACTGGATTGGGCACTGGACTCATTCACCCATCGATCAAATTTAAGCTCTGAAATAAGCAAACAAATACATAAGTTCTTTTAAACTACTGTTTAATCGGTTTTAAAGACACACAAAGAACAAGAAGAAAAGAAAAACATGTAAGTTAAAAACACCTTTAAAAGCCAGCCATAAGCCCCCATAAGCAGCTCTGAGGGCACGGAGTAGAAGTGGTTATGAATCATCACATCACAGCTTAGCTGACACAGTGATGGTTACAATTCACCATACAATAAGAACTGATTTGTGGATCCATTGAAAAGTAACACTTCTTTAAAAAAATATTTTGGAATAATAAGAACAAAAACAAAAAAAGCACAGGTCACCCCATATGATATCCTTCACCTGGGAAGGCAAAGGGAAACACTGTAAGTGCTGGCTGGGGCAGCTGAGGCTCCTCTTGGGTCAGGCCACCAGCGTCCAGCTGAAAGGGAAGGCAGGTCTCAAGCCAGCCACCTTCATCTTAGCATGATGGGGCTTTCACATCCCAGGAGTCCACATCCTGTTCATTCCTATTTCCTCGTGTGACTCTCCTTCTGGTGCGGAGGTGCCTTCACGTACATAAGGTGACAGAAGACAGACAAGATTGTATTTTCAGTCAACACAGGAGTCCTTTTAGTGTGTGTTTAAGTCAGCAGCAAATGGACTTCATGGACACAGGCGTATACAGAACAAAGACATTTCAAGTGGGAATGGAGACAGGTTTTAAAAGTCTGTCAAATACTCTACATGTGCCCTTCCCCACGAAAGGACAGAGAAAATTATTATCAAATCAATCTCTCACAGAGGTTAACCCAAAGTACAGCCTGTGCAGGGAGCAGCGACTGAGAGACTGCAGGAGGCAACCAGCCACTCTTCCATTCCAGACATAATCCCCAGAAGATGCTTAGTCATTTCCTTTCCTGCTCTGTAACTGTTGGCTTTATAGTCTATTCCATGGCTGGTTACAGTAGCAAAACGTAAGAAAACACAGCTGGGGGTGGCTATGTGTCATGGGATCAGTTCCAGAGAGTGGTTGTACAGGATCTTTGAAGTGTTATTTATAGAACAGACAGGCTGTCCCTTGCTTTATAAAAATGGCATTAAGAGTTACCACCAGTCTTAAAGGCAAGACAATTTAGCTGGCATAGAAATGTGTCATTAGGTTCTGTTTGATAAAATTTTCCCAACCAATGGCCTATGGAGTTTCTTGTCAGTTCTTCACTGGAATTTGCATTGTGTTAAAAACCTATTAAAATAAATTATCATCTGAAAACATACAAAACATTATTAAGCAGCCTACGAATTAAAATGTAATTGGCTGCATCCTCTGTACAACAAGAGCCTCAAAAAGCAGCTTAATCATTGATTATAAGAGCATTCCTACAAAATATCAACGTGGAAAATTTCATTTTAAATGTTCTTCCCATAAGGAGAATCACTATAAAGAGATCTGACTACAAGGTGTTACAGAAAGTCACTGTAGAGAGCTGCTACATTCTAACCCACCAGACAGGAAAATTGGGAGTGGATGCGAATCTCTTCCTCTCTGATACAAACTCACTTTTCCAAGGGCAGTGGGAAGCAGACAGCTAGCATCGAGGGCAAGTGGAAGATGAATCAGCCATTCCCCTAATGCCGCTGGTGGAATGTACCTGGTTATCTGTGGTCCTCTGGGCAGGTTAAGGCTACAGTCACAGTGTGAGCTAGAATTCTGCACCCAGGTTAGTCTGGATGTGTTAAATTTCAGCCAGGGTAGACTATTGATGCCTGAATAAAACCTTTCAAACTACTGGTTTATAACTGTGTTTGAGTGAATGCAGCAGAAGCAATTATTCTAAACAAGTCTACTCTCTCAAGAATGTCTAGATCAGTTATAGTGCAGAATTCTCGGAGTAAATGAGTGGATATGTAGGAACAACTGGTAAGGAAACAATGAGTACAATTTTCCATATTTGCTCATGAATACACAAGGCGAACCTTGATGAGGTATGGGTTTTAAGTAGGAAAACTATTTGTCCTAAGTCTTCAAAATTAAAACCCTTATGATTATTTTGATGGCAATTTAAAAGTGTTTTCTGTAATTTGAGATAAAGAATAGCTAAATTCTCTGAATGAAATAATTGCTGTGGAGCTACACGGTGGTAAACCCTGTCCAGTAAAATCAGCAATTCATGGGGAGTATTTAATGGCATAAATCTTCTCCAATTTTACCCTGCAGAAACAGAAGCCAGAGAGAGCAAAGGGGGAAATGGCATGTTGCTACCCATTCTGAGTTAATGAATTTAAAGGTAGTCCTGTTGCTAGGCAGCCAACCATTTTATAAAATGTCAGCACTTCAAGCCCCACTGATAAAAGCAGCCTTAAACCTGCCCTTCCCTTTGTCCTTCACCCTACAGGCTGGAGGGGGAAGTGGAGCAGCAGGGTGCTTCCTCAGCCCAGAGCCAGAAGGACCAGCTAGGCCAGTCAGCACTTACAGGAAGTCACCATCACTTTCTAGAAACCTCCACTGTAACTGTTTTCCTCAAAAGTGGCATGTGTGCAGATGCCCTGTGGAGGTGTCATCCACGTTGGGGACACAGCGATGGGGCACCTCTGAAGCCCAGAGCAACTTCTCGCCACCTCTAAATACTCTGGAAGCTTTCCCAGTCTGAGCTCCAATTAAAGTCCGTATTAAAAAAAAAAAAAAAAAAAAAAAAGACAAAGAAAAGAAGAAAACGGTGAGCTGAGACACATCAAATTAACAATTATAGGTTCATGAAAATGAGATTGAGGGAAGAATATTTTGTTCTATTTTCCCTGAGTAGTATACGCTTGAACAGAAGTATAAATATGACCATCTCCAGAGTGATTACAGGACACGGAAGAAATGGAAAAACAAAACATAAACATACAGCAAAACCTGCTCTGCCAGTTAAACACAGTAAGCACAAAGTATGGCTGCCTTCACAATTAACAGTAGTGCAAACATGAGTTCTAAATCCTTCTAAGTCAAAGCAAAATAATCTTCACAGCAGCTCAACTAGATATTTCATAGAACATACTTTTTGAGAAAAACTGAGAATCTGACTTCTTTTAGATGGCATTTGGATTATGTCTCCAAATTAGAAGACAGCCATCTACCTAAAAAATGATCTTACAAATGTAACTAGTAGCTGTAGAAATATGGAAAAAAAAAAAAAAAAAAAAGTCAAGTTGGATAAGCTGTGTATTGCTGGGAACCAGAACATTTGTCAACTGTCTTCCTTGACAGGAAACAGGCAAGAGTGACTCAGAGTATAGACCAAGAAATAAAACGTGTGCACGTAACAGAAATAAATGGGGGTCATTCGGTTGGAGAGACCAAGCAAGCCTTCAGCAGTTTCACTGGCTTTTACTTATGAAATAATGCCTCGGGCTTTCTTGACCATTAGTGACTGGATTCTCCATCAAGTCCATGAAATCTCAGAGACATTTAGGGACAGACACTCTCCATAAAACACTTTTTTCTTTCTTCTCGAATTCCACAGCTTGATGGGGAAACTAAGAAAAGGTATTTACTGGCCTTTTCCTGCGGGAGGGGTAAGGGGAGGACTCTCCTCATCAGAGGCAAAGAATTAGCCTTCAGAAAAGCAAACACGTCATGTGCCTCTGAAGTCCTAGAATGCCATGCTGGTGTTCTTCTTCCACTGACACCTTAAAGTTTATACCACAATTGCTGGTTCCTCCTTAACTTTACTTACAAATGTATTCATGACAAAAAACAAAAACCAACTCATTGTAGACTGACAATCTGCAGTTTGTTTGAAATATTAAGGCAAAACCAGAACTAATTTCACAAAGGAGATTGGTCAAATAACAGCCCAGCCTTTAGGTCTCACAAGGCAGAAGCTACAGGCCCAGGCTCAGTTCTACAGCCTCAAACCACCCCTCACTTATGGCTGCTGTAGCACACTGCTGTGGGATTTAAGACATATCCAGTCACTCAGGGCAGCAGTGAGCCCTAAAAGGAAAACACACACTTGTTTTGAGAGAATTTAACATCCATTTTAACAAGAGTTTAACTGAAGAATTTTAATGCATGAAGAGTGTAAAAACTAATTTATTAGTTTTAAAAAAATGTCATTTAGACTCATCAACTAAGTTTTCTTTTCCCTAAATCTCTCCCAGATAGCAATGAAAATGACAGGGACAGGAAACTGATGAACCATATAATAACCTTAATTACTAGAGATTTCATTCAAAATCTTTGAACCCCTCTACCACGGTTACTCTTATAACCCCTCTAATTCTAAGCAATTTATGCTCAAGAAATTTCTTCAGAGAGTCTATAGCATTACCAACTTATCAAACTTTGTGTCCCCCACAGTCACATTAATCTTAGACACTGGAGGGGGAAGTCCTCTGCCCCTGGGCCACACATTCTTCATTCTGGCCTGCTTACCTCATCTTCCCTCTAATTATTTTATTTTTTTTAAGAAAATAAGCCTAAAATATCACATTGCCAACCTTTCATTATGTTTAAGAGAGTCCTCCTGGAAGGGCCCCCAACTGATCCCAGGTAATTAAGCTCCCGGCAAAACACGCTACCTGTAATTTAGTCCTGAATGTTTACACCGTGTGCGCAGCCCTCGGAGAGACCTTAAGAAACCTTTCAAATACTGAGGTGTTTATTGCATTTTGAAAGTACCCACACTCTTAAATATTTGTTTCTAAGCTACTCCTCAATCCCCCTTTGCAGCACACCGTATCAAATATTGAAACTGTCTCCCCATACTATTACACTTGAAAATCCCATCCAGGAACAACATTTTAGGAAACAGAAGGTTTAAGGCAAGACATTCATTTGGAAAAAGTTAATCTTTCAACCATCCCGATTGACATGATTATTTTTCCACCTCTTCAGTGCCTTGGGATACGCAATGTACATTCAGCAACAGGGCACACGTATGACCTTGAGGGCGTATGCTGAGGTCAGAGTGCCCTGTTGAAACATGGAAAGATTTTGTGTAAGGCGTGACCCACAGAACATGGCATGGGAGGGGTTATTTCATTCCATTTCCAATCTGGTGTACAGGAAACCCCCGGCTGAAACTGTCCCATTCCCACCCAGTTAGTCTCTTTTCCTTAAACAGGAGGCTCTGGAAAGGCGTCAAGACTGGTTTCTGCTCAGAGATGGGGAAACAGCCATCACCTGGGTTCCCAGTCACTGCGTTAGTGAGGAGTGTCTAGAGTCAGTGTCTTGGTTCTGATTGCAAACATTATTTGTCATGGAAAAACTGTTCTGTCCCAGAGAGTTTTCTTTTTCGTCAAACTTTTTGGCCCGTGAGAGCTGAACGTTTTCCTGTGTGCTCTTTCTTCTTTGAGATTTTTTCACAGGCAGTAACAGCAACACTAAGATACTGCAGATGTGAAGGCAATAATACCAGGAGCTAAAAGAAAAGGGAAGATGGTTTATCAACCGCACCCTTGCCAATACCCAGGGCCCTGAGGATGGGGTTATTCACCGTATTATTCTTCTATTTTCTCTACACTGGAGGCTGGGGTATGGGTCACTGCAACACACACACACACACACACACACACACACACACACACACACACACA